GGTGAATAAGCTTAGATAATGGGAGGGAAGCGTAGCTCCCTTTTCACTTATAAACAAGATGAAGGATTTATGCCATTTACAATATAACGTTCTTAACCAGACAAGTTAATAGAGCGGATCATCTTTTCCACCCTATCTTATTGTCAAGTTGCATTGGTTTAAATCATAATGTTGGCTGGGCGATTTTAGCAAAAATGTGATCCATGTGATCCATTCGGAGTGATTTTGATGGCGGCGGGGTCAAGCCGCGCCTAATGTTAGTTTATCGTAGCAACCTAGTAGAATCCTGGCATGCTAGGTAACATGCTATTGAGTAGTTAATCTGGTTAGTTTGGTTTAGAGGGTTTGGTCCCTTCGGTTCATGGAAAATAGTTATGATTAGCCAGGTTTGGCTATGGCAGTTTCAATAGAAAGACCCAAGGGGGTGTTTAAATAATACAAAATGTAAATACATCTCCATCTTTATAACTGGTATTATAAAATATTTCAATAGTACCCCTATTTATACTTACTCCTGCTGATTGATTCGGCCCCAGCGAGTCTTCGAGCGGTATACTTGGTTGGGCCCGCCCTCAGGTGGGATTACCAACGCATTTTATGAATTGGTTTCATTCCTATTCCAGGCTCTCCTCCTTAAATATTCTTATTAGTCTCTATCTATGACTTTAGATTTAGCATCTGCAGTAATAAATGGTCCGGATTATTAATCAGACTTTATTATTTTCCTATTTATAGTGGCACCTATTAATATATTGTCTTTTATTATGATTACAATGGTTTTATTAAGCATTATTCGGTCAGCATTTACATTAGCCCCTCTAAATTAATTGCCGCTAATTCTTTGGTATTTATAATTATTTGTTTATTTACAACAATTTGTACTTTAAAATTCTTTTCTCTCAATATCGTTTAATGCAAAATAGTAATGGCTCTGTTGGCCAATATAAGTACTTTTGAATCCATTAAAATAATTCCATTATACTGTGATAGCAAAGATTAATAAAAATCATCTCAGGATCCATGATTTCATCATGCGTATGGAATTTTTTGGAGGGTGATCATGTACAATAGAATCACCCTTGGGGGTAGATAGATAGTCTAACAGATTTAGTGTTATCTTATATAAACTTGCTGGTTGATTGGTAGTACTCATTATGATCTTTATCCTTACAGCTATTCAATGTTATCAGGTATAAAGAATCTTTTAGTCTATCAACTATTCAATATTATTTGATAAAGTTCTAGAAATGATTTCTAAGCATTCAGCTTAGCTACTTATAATACAGTAGTATCACATATGAACTGTAAAGAATGTGGTAGAGTTATAGAAAGTTGCACAATTATTCCTTAAAGTTGTAAAGTATGATTTATAGTGATTAAATATGCTAATACTCTCACGTTCTTTGATATACTTGGATAAGTGTGGACATTATTCTATAGGTATTCACTAAGCTATAGCAGAATCAATGTAATTCGTAATTGATAAAGTACAGTTTTGATTATACAGCTTTAGCAATAATTACACCTAGAGGTTAAGCTGCTTGATTTATAGGTAATGATTATGCCAGCTGCTACAATAAATACCTTGGTATATTTAGGTTCTTTATATAGGCTGGTTTAGTCCTTACTATTAGTGGTATCATGATCTACGATTATCTCTCGGGTATACCATATTGAACTATTTGTATATTTCCTTGCTACTATCTTACTTGCTTCCTATATATGTTTCCTACTCTTGCTATTTAACCATTAAATAGACTCTTAGTTATAGATAATCATATTGGTTTGGTACCCCTTAATGTAGGTACAGCTAGTATCATTATATATTATCAAGGTGTAAATTAGAGTAGTAGGTTATATACCAAACTGATTATCTTTATCTTTATTATGGTTATGGTTATTATGGTTATTACCTCTCCTTGGATTAATCTTAATTTGTAGTTGGTAAGTTCTAGACCTATATGAGCTTTATACCAATAAATTACTCCTAATGCTTCACTACATTTAGCATCTTACTCAAATATCCTCCATTCACTTTATTTGTTATCTGGACTCATAAAATCATAAATAAGAGGGTACCGTTTAACTTCCGATTAAGCCCATTACTGATAGTCTAATCACCCTGTGGTCTAATCCTATTGATTGGATACCAGTCCACTTAAAGATGGTTCTTATAAATCCATAAAAGTCATTTAATGTCAAAACAACATCTATTTTTTTATTCAGTTTATGCGTAAATCTCAACTAAATAAAACCACTAATAAGAAGAGAGATCCAAATGGGTAATGACATAACCAGTGAAGCTAAGAAGTAAATAATAAACCTAGATGAGCAGGCATAACCAAAAGATAATGGCTAAGCAGCAGACTACACGAGGTATAACCAAGGGTCAAGGGGGGGGGGGTATAGATACCAGTTAACAAGCCCTACGTGTCCATTTAACCTAGATGTATATACCATAGTAGGTATGATTCTAAGTCCTACCTAGGAACTACAACCCCAAGTAATTAGTTACATGGTTATTTACACCGTGGCTCCGATATAAATTCATCCTCGGTCTCGGAGAGACCCATGGCCACGCCTATGGTCAAAGAATTTTAAATCATCAAGGCACCACCCTCAGGGTGAAGGCCCCGTAGAATAAAGGTGTAAACCTAAAGTTAAGAACAAACTGCTGGAATAGTGATTCAACTAATTAAATAATAGATCCAATAATGAGAATTACACATCAACCCATAGATGAGGAGGGGCCATACCAGATAGTTGATGGCACGCATATCAGGTGGTAGTGCATAACCATATTATCCTACACCTTAAAATAATACTGCTAATACTAATAAACCAACTACTCCTGGGACACTGCAAATTCTAATTTTTATTAGGTACGACAAATACCAAACCCCAGGTAGGAATCGAACCTACACTACCAGGTTATGAGCCTGGGTTGCTACCATTACAATACCGGTTACCTATTTTTGGTATATATATATATATCGCATTCCAACCTATATCAGCTTTGCTGATCCGGAGATAATCCCAGGGCGGGCCGGCTCCTGTCGGTGGGCCGTCGTAAGATGGGATCACTGACGACCCTTTCGGCCCCAGCGCGTCTTAGGGGGGGGTAGGGGACAAGCACCTGCGGGTTGCGTAAACCCTAGTCAGATCTCGTCTTGCTACGTGAGGACTGATCCTAATCATTCCAGACGGATCATGAGGGTGATGGGATTTGAACCCACAGCTGCCAACCTGACAAGTTGGTGTTTTACCAATTAAACTACACCCTCTTTTTTTTTCAAGATAGGGTCTTTGGCCCTGGATCTCCTTCCTCGTTTTTCATCCATGTGAAATATACCATTATTGGTATAGGAAGGGGGAGAGGGGACCTAAAGAACAAAAATGACCAACGACCGACCGTCCGTAGGGACATCCAAGAATCAACACCATTTAAAGTTAACAGCAAGAATAGAACCAACAACTAATACGGTGTGACCCTCCCCTAAAGGCCGAATAAAGTAATAGCCCGTCATAAGACGGGTTCATAATAAGACCAGTACTTTAATAGAAGGTGGCTCTTCCCCAAAGGGCGAACCAAAGTTAATGGCATTAATAATACAGCAAGCCCGTTGTAAGATGGTTTAAATGTATAGAGGGCCCCCTCCCCCTGGGTCGTGAGGTACCCAGTTCTTGGTCGGCCATACTTTTTACGACATTTTAACGGTCAGCCCCGACGGAAGTCGGGTTCAAGAATCAGGATAATAGGAAATGTCATCACTCTGGTGATTGCCCTCTACCATGAAGCCTTTATGGTCCACTAAGTAGACCTTAACCCAGTTTTACCCTCTCGTTATGATTATTGCGTAAGCTATTGTTGCATTAAATAAGTTACAGGTTCAGCATCCAAAGACTCAGATAAATGATTATTATTAGACCAAAGCCTAAACAACTATAGACAAACATCAAGAGGGAAGTTACTAGTATTTATTAGCCAACACCTAAAGCATAAGTACCCTAGAGCTAAATCTTAAAAGGTTGATTAGGTCTATTAGGTCGATTAAGTCGAAGATCAATTCGAATTAAGTTGAACTAATGCTTCATCAAGAATAATAATAATAATTAATAGAATATTACCAACTAAATATAGATAATAATACTAATAGTTGAGTATTCCATAGCACTCCAACTTACAGTTAGATCAACAAGAAAGAAAGTAAATTTGGTAACCATGGCAAAATTAAGAGTAAATAATTTAATAAAAGATTCAATAGAAAGGTAAATAACATGAAAAAGAAATAGAAATAATGCAACTCGTTCACCTTCCTCGTTTTTCATCCATTTGTGTTATATCCTTATGGATGTCCAGGGATATCCCTTATAATAATAATAGCCGAAGGTCCACCTGAGGTCGGGGGTGAATAGCACATGAAACGTAAAAGACATAATCATCCTAATAGAGAGTAACTGATTATCATAAGCCAAGATCATGAAGCTGTATTTCATTTACTTAACACCCTGTCGGGATATTTGATACCCCCCCCCCTCCTACCTGTAGTACGATTCAACTAACTTTGGATATTATTGTATAGTGCCGGGGGCCCTAATCAGCTAGAGCTGATTCAATCTATCCCATATGCTAAGCGCCCCCCCCCCTTACGGTGCGGCCTCACTAGGGGTGGCAGGACTCGAACCTACAAATCATGGCACCAAAAACCATTGCCTTACCAATTTGGCTACACCTTTCATGACCCTGGTATGCAAACTTCGCTCGCATCCTTGGTGGGCTTCCAAGGTTCGGTGATTGATCATAATATACATCCTCGGGTTGACGCTACCCGAGTCAGGCAAGCCCGCCTGGACCGACAAGGATGACTTGTCGTACTTGTCTAGCGGAGCCATCCTCCGATCCGTAGGACTAGAGCACGATCACTCGATGAACGATAAGCAGGGGTCAAGAGATACACTCTAATCCACCTAACCAACCCGATGGTTGTATAAGGAGTCAATCAGGGCGATAGGAATCGAACCTATATCGCTGATTCCCAAAACCAGAATTCTAACCATTGAACTACGCCTAACACTTATATCTTCTTATACGATTATCTTTGTTTATGATGATGATCATGATGTCGATGATCTACGATCCTTCCTTTTCATAAATACTCATCCGACTCTACCGTATTATAGGGTATCCGTGTTATACCACTTTAGCTATCACAATGAGATCCTATATAGATAAGATAGTACCAGGGGTTTAGAAGTCTACTAATCATCACCCTTGGGTGATTACCAGCTAATGAACCTATAGCATAAATTATTTGACCTAGCTCATAACCAATTTTATCTTAAGCTACTGTTTTACCATCACCCATAGCATATCATATTGTATGCCACATGCCATAGGGTATACTATACCCCCCCACTAGTCCTTTAAATTTGAGCCAATGACATTTATTCACATGATTTAAATAAAAACTAATACATTATAAACCCAGTTACCCAAGGGGGTGATATTCACGTAGAATGTTATCTTCATGGTTACTTCGTTGGATTCAGTTAGACTCTGATTCATTCTGACTCTTTAATTTAGTTTGATTATTTAATTAGATAGGTACAACTACTATTACACTTTATGGGTTCCTTGCCCTTAATGATATTACTCATATTGGCTGCTAAAGTATTTTAATCAACAGTTTCTCTATTGCTTATATTCCCTCGAATTCTTTCACTTACTTAGGATGGTATTATTGGGACACCATTAGATTAACTGAACTAACTACCTACTAGTCTTATCTTAAAGATTTACTACTTAAAACACTGGTGTTCTTTCCTGTTACACGAGTTATACTTTATTGGTTCCTTATGATTGTGTTTTTATAATCCTAACCGTTGTACTGGACTACATCATTTTAACTATAACATATACTACTCATACCATCCTCCTATTGTTGTTGTTTATCATGCTGTCTAGAATCAATCGCCCCTATGATGGGTAACCCCCCCCCTTCAACCTCAAAAAAGTGTAGGTGTGTAGATAATTATTAAAATACTTCCATTGTCATTTATTCATGATCATCATTAAATCCTTTATATTCGTTTATTTGGTCTGGTGACTTCGATCGTAGAGAGGAGGCAAGAAGGAGGAACGACTGATAAGACCGCTCTGTGGAATGTAGTGTAACGCCATATCTATTTGGGAATGGGTGATCAATAATATCCAGGGTAACACCATGGTCCGGTGGGACCTGGAGGCGAGGTCGTTAAGACCGATGTATCCTGGAACATGAAGGTGTGGAACATACCTGATAAGGACGCCGAGGGCGAAAGGATATGAGCCTTATCTATTATTGGTCTGGTGCCTGGTAGGGGAGCGTATACCCTACGAATCATGATAAGGTGTAACACCTTAGATAAGGACGCACTAGGTACAGCTGATACAATAACTACCTCTGGTATCTTTAGGTGCAGCTCTCTATGGTATAATGATGCTTTAGTTGCTACTATTATGAGTATTACCTCCATTTCCTATTTTTATCTTTGCATCCTTTATCAGCTACAATACCCACTATTACTTTTATTAATGGGTAGTTACCTTTAGGGTGATCAGTTCACCAGCCTGCCGGCCTGTATTTACATGATCAGACGGTGGTCCGTCTTTGAATCAACTTTAATTCTAAATCTAAAATACTATAATTCAAGATAATGTAAATAATTGGAATTATAATAACAGTAAATTTAGTGAATGACAGTAAATATAATGAACAATACCAAGGGACCCAGGTCTATCAAGATATAGTTAATATCCAATAAGATAGACTAGATAATCAATAGCTGTAAAGTAATAAAAATAAGCAATACTGGTAATCCAATACCTTGGTCTACATCCCTAAGGGGGGTCAACCTACTTCAAAAAGCAAACATAATCAGGGATAAAGGGCGAGGGTCTTCCAACCTTGCTCGAATCCAAGTATATATCCCTCTCAATCATCGAAGGTGATGTATACCTGTGGATGGAGCCGTGATCGTACCCGCTCTCATGGATAGATGGGCATAGCCCCATCTCCCTGTGGGCCATGAAGAATGAC